TGAAGTCTCAGCTGCATCAACTTGCTTACACTTTCATTCATATCATCTATGGGATTATCCTGCGTCTAGTTCAGAGCTATCATGCCCTTGTGGATCGGGTTCTTGCGATCGTCTACTACCATCACCGCACACCGGAATTGATACGAAAAGATATCAAGGGCCTAAAACGTTTGCCTGAACATCTGACCGTTGTTTTATCAATGCGCAAGGAAGATGATGCGCTTGCGATTTTGATGGACGAAGTGGCAGAACTGGCTGCTTGGAGCGTTAGCTCTGGTATACCCATGCTGAGTATCTATGAGAAGAGCGGTATGTAGAGACACTTCACACTCAACATTCCGGCCTCCTTAAGCGCTCTGAGGTAGAAGAGTACTGACCGTCCTCTATAGGGGTCCTGAAATCATGCATACCGACGCTGCATCAGGTGGTTGCGAGTAAATTCGCTTCATATTACGGCTCACTCCCTCAGCAGCCAACCCTTCGACTTTTCGCTCCTCATCATTCTGTATATGAGCCATCTCTTGACCATGATACGGCTCGTAGAGTCAATACTGACTCTCTTACCATGCTTCTGTTATCCGCTACCGATGGAAGAGAAACTATAGTTGATCTGACTCAAACGCTGACAGAAATGTCACAGAATGGTAAACTGTCACCAGGGGATATCACCATGGAGTTGGTTGATGCAGAGATTAGCGAAATCACAACGCAGCCATTGCAGCCGGCCACATCGAGCATTGGTGACAGACAGGCGAGTGCTGTTCACCCCGCTATTCCAATGAAGCCAGAACCGGATTTACTATTAGTTTTCGCGCCCTTTCTGAAACTGGATGGATATCCTCCCTGGCATATTCGACTGACTGAAATGTTTTGCACCGGTGGTAAAAGCAGCGGCATAACTAGTTATGGCGAAGCTGTTGAATATCAAGGTTTTCTTAGGGGACTGTGGCACTATGCCGGGGCTCAGATGAGGTTTGGTCGCTAGAGGCAGCTTGCTGGCTTCTCAATACCTGTGACAGATCCAGATTCGTTAAAGCTCAAAGCTCCGGGTGTAGCGTTAGGGATGAGAGGCTCATATGTATATCGATTCCTCGCTTTACTTTGTGCGCTTCAATTTGCTATATAGTTAATATTCCTGGTTCTTTCTTAGAGATATGGTTTGGTAGTGTGTTATATAGATAAGTTGTTCTCTATCATTAGATTAACTCCAGGGACCTTCTAAGTCAGGTGACACCCCTAAATTCAATTCAAAAGTACTTCGTACGGAGTGGGCATCATGAATGAGCCAGCGGACTAGGAAGCTGGTGCAGATTCATCTAGTTTCATAAATAATCACTTTTTCGATTTTTCGATTGCAAATATACGGATGGTGACTGCTACCTATTTGGATTCTTGGATTCTTGCATCTCTGATGGCATACTACGACGGTCGATCACCCCCGGATCAACTTCTTTGAAATGGAGGGCAATATTTTCGACATAGTCGAGCGATTGGGGAGTGAAGAAGATGCAGTGCGCAAGATGGCAGTCTTTAAGCTTCAAGGCAGCATCGGAGACCCTTCGTTTGCTGATATCTTCATTGCTGAAGGGGGGCTGGCCAAACTGCGCGATTTGACATTGCATGCAACCGGAAATACACTGGCTTACAGTTTGACAAGCTTCGCAAGGCTGTTGGAAGTAGATAAGGGATGGGACTATGTTGACCAAGAGTTGGTGGAAAGAGTAGGTCTTTGAAATTCGCCGCCATAAGGGATAGCGAAGTCTCAGCTTGCCTCAGTACTAACAAGTGTTCTGGTTCCTACCTCTAGATTGTCCAGCTCATTGTGACGCAGCCTCTGGTCAACATTTTGCGCGGCGCAATGTCTATCTTAGTATCTATCGTATCCCATCCGTACACAGGGGGGCGCCTACCACAGACTGATGCTTTTGGGTTTCGCGCTCTGAAACCCGCACTTGCAATCTACCCACAATTTCTGGAGATGCTTGTCAATAGGCTCTCGTCTGCAGATCACGCACTCTGTGCGAATGCGCTTCAACTCATCAACTCTCTTATGCGTGACTCCATTGCAAACGACTCCGAGCTAGAATGGCCCAGATTCATACAAAAACTTCAAGATTTAGGGGTAATTCGAGCGGTTTACGCCCTCATGCAAGGTACAACGTTGCAAGACCATGCTCATCCTTTGATAGAGTTCCAATCTCTCACAAAGGTTCTGCTTAGGAGGTGGCGAGATATTCCCCTGGATCTAGAAAAACCAGAGCATAGGAGGGCATTGAAAGGAATACACCTGGCTGGTGACCAGGAGAAGAGCATTGACGAGAGGGTTGATAATGACTTTGAGATGCGGCGTTCTAGAAAACACAACTCAGAAAAGTGGAGGCGGCTTGGATTCGAATCAGAAAATCCAATAGCTCAATTCGAAGAGATGGGATTCCTGGGAATGATGGACCTTGCGGATTATGTCAGAAATCATCGAAATGAGTTCCGAAAAATGCTGTTGGAGCAGTCAGCAAAACCTGGCCAGAAACGGTGTCCAATTGCCCGCGCTTCTTTGGCAGTAACTTCAATCCTATACGAGCACTTTGAGATCGAGAAATCTGACATAGAAGACTCAAAGAACTACCTGGTCTTAGAGTCTCGCGCCAACCTTGACCGGTTGTTCAAGCCTCTACTGCTGCACTGGACACGTTTGCACGTCGCGGCATTGCAAGCTTTCGTCCGGTTATGGAAGACCACCAATGCAGACGTTGATGATTTCGCAAAAATTGCTGAGCTGGTTCGAATTCTTGTTGAATCGGTTGTTGGTGGGGCAACCCGAACAAAGGAAGTACAAGACGTGGAAGATGAGATAGTCAATTTTGAATACCGCCGGCTTCGAGATCTGCAGATGGAACTCTTGGAGCTCACTTATGAAGATGTTTGGAGGCAACATCTGCAACAGGTCCGCGAAGAACTCCATCATGAGGCTCTACAATTCGTCAAGGAGCAAAGGATCCGTTGCCTTCTGCAGGGCTGCTGGTTTCCTGTTGAAGCCAGTACTCATACAGACTCCTCTTCTGTCGAAAATGTCTCTTACCGATATGTACAATTGTCCCATAACCGAAAATTCCTGCATTACGGGGATTTTGAGACGCTAGGAAATGGCAGGATAGACCTCGATTCTCTCCCTGGAAAAGGTTCGGATCCCCTCTGTTCATTCCTTTTAGCCGAACCTGTCTGTTGACCGTCTTTTCAATTAGTTGATTTGTCGGCTGTTTCGTCTGTGGCTTCCAACGTCTCAGCATCAGCTGACGCTTCATCTTCCTCAACCTTGAAAATCGCACCCCTTTCTGTATCCTCGACTAAAATCACGATTCATGGATATGTTGAATGTCCCTCATCTGCCACAAGGGGCTCATCGAAGGGCCATAGTCATGCTTGTTCTATCGGCAACTCGAAGGAGGGTGTCTTGTTGACACTTCGCCCTCAATCCCCAAGCATAGCATCTGAGTGGCTCGACGGGTTGCTTATGTTGCTGAATCAGCGGCCTATCACAGTAGACTCTAACAAGTTGATCAATGTTGTCAGCGACTATGGGCTGAAGATCCGTCTATTCAATGTGCGCTTTGAAGATGCGACTTTTGTTGGAGAAGTTCCGAAGATTCCTTCCCGAGATGGCCTTGATGATGACTATTACTATGACCTTTTCGGTGCTTCTTGAGCGCTTTATAGAAGAGAAGAGAAGACGCAAGCAGAAACCCTCCAATTCTTATACCTATTGCCATATCTCATACTTTGAAACCCCCCGTTGATGGTTGACAATGTAGGGACGATCGAGCCAACGAACTTTGGATTATATTTGAGATCTTTTCGCATTCTCCTTCCCAAAGTGCTCGTCTAGTAGTCGATTCGGAAGTCGTTGCTAGACTCGGAAAGGATAATACATGTGTTTTTCAAAGGGTTGGCGAGCATGCACGGAGTAGTATGCTTTTGATCTTCTAACACTATCGGTGAAATCTCTTTGACCACAAATTTCCAAGCATACCTTAGGTACCTTGTTATTGGGTGGAGCTCCCTCAAGGCCATGAAAATTCATGACGAGTCACTATGCATCCCATGGAAAGTCCTTCCCTATGCAGTGGGCAAGCCTGGGCAAGCCTAGGCATAGCTGGTTAACCTCTTAAGTAGTAGATAATAGCGAATTATGGAGAATAGTTAAGTTATGTTATAAATGATGGTATGCTAGGACCACTAAAACTATCAATTTTGATATTTTAACATCATGGTGCTTGATACAGATGCTGGGAGTCTCACATAGTTGCCCTTCCAAAAAGCACCCTAGGCTATTATAGGCAATGGCTACATGCTTTCTACTCTTTCTAGGTTCCAAGATCTAGCTAATGAAAGCATGTTAAGGAAGTAACAAAGCTGAAGCTAATAGAGATCTAAAATGGGAATGCGGAGAGTGAGACGACCCGGGGAATGGTGTATAGCTATGTGTAGTCATGATCTTATTTCTGGGGAATATATTAGTGTATGACTTATCTAAGTTGATCTCTTGGGTTACAGAGATGATGCGGTGGAAAATCGGTATACTACGTATTTATCTACTAGTTGGATGGAAAATGGAAATTTAAATACTGCCCTCTATGTACTCCGTAGGTAGTTTTCTTGATATCGAGATTCAGTGATCTTGATTGGTCAGAAAGATTACCTACGCTCCATTGTACTCACTACTCCGTCGGGAACGGAGCAGTGTATGGGGGTGACCATGGTGCGTTAATAGCGTCCTTCCATTGATGTTGTCTCAGAAACGAAGGGATTCCGCTGGTTGTTTCACTTTGCATACCGAGAAAAATCCAGTGTGTTTGGTGACTAGACTTGTCGGACGCCAGGATTTCCCCTGGGTCTTTACCTTACCTGCCTCTACGACATGCCTATAAAATTGAATCTTTTACATGCCTCGGCCCGTGCTTCATAGAAGCAGATGACTGTTCTTCCTCTTCTTGCTGATTTTCGTCATGGCCACCCACGCAGCGAAACGGCAGCGGATATCAATCGTCCGTCCATTGGAAGATCAGGTTGGTTTTTGAATCCTGGTGATTTTGCTTCTGGAGGTATATGCCTGCCTGACAACTGCAAGGCTAATGAACCGAGTCGTTCGAGTTCATCAAGTCCCAATTGCGAGGCTCTTCTCAATCAAAATGCTCCATCGGGCACAAATGTCCATTCGCAGCAAATCTCTGCCAGTACTGCTGCATTACGCTCCGAACCGGTCTGTCAGAGGAACGAATGTTCGAACCCGCCCTCGAGCAAGAAATCGAAGAGTAGATCGCTCCACAACTTCTTTCCCGCTGCGAGTGAAGAACAAAGATGGGCTACACACAAGACTGGATCCTTCCATTTGTCTCAGCCAAGGACAGACAAGATAGACACAAGCGATGACGCTATCGAGGACGGCTACGACTCTTACGATGAGGTTTTCTCCCACTACATTGCAGAGCGAAAAGTCATACCTGGAAAGCGGATGGAGGCGCCTTTGGCTGCTGGAGAGCGTTCCAATCAGATTCAAGCAACACCACACGCTTTTCGTCCTCAGAGCTTCGCAAGCAATCACAAGCGCTTCATCGTTTCATCGGCGTCGGAGAGAAAGCGTCATGGTTTTGACTCGTTAGCGACCAATTACGATAAAGACTCTGAGAAATTGCCATGGGCACAGAAGTATTCCCCGATGAATCTGAATGAGCTCGCGGTTCACAAGAAAAAAATTGCCGATGTACAGAGTTGGTTATCAGACGCCCTTCGCGCGTACGAGAAGGTATGCATCACAGAATCACAGATGAGTGGCGAATTCCTCGACTCAAAGTTAACTTCGAGAACAAAATCAGAAATTACTTGTTCTCAGAGGCCCTGCAGGAAGCGGCAAAACAACTACGTTATCGCTATTGTCGGACAAGCTAGGTTTTGATGTTCTCGAATGGAAGAATCCGTCAGGATCTGAGTTTGCGGCGAAAGGATTCACATCTACAGCAGCGCAACTCGAAGAATTTTTGACAAGGAGTAACAGGTTACGTGGGCTCGAGTTTTATGGCATGACCGGTTTATCAGCAAGCAAGAGGAACAGTAGTGGACATATGAGACCACGTATTATTCTCATCGAGGAGTTCCCAACAGTCTTCGATCGAGGCTCATCCAGTCTAACCGCTTTCCGACTTTCTCTGCAGCGGTATCTCTCAGTGTCATCCGCACCGAGAGGCAATACCCGGGACGATATTGAGAGACACGGGAGCTCACCTGTTGTTATTATCGTCTCCGAGACCCTGTTGAATCCCGGGGCGTCCTATTCGGACAACTTAACGGCTCACAGGTTGCTGGGGCCAGACATTTTAAGTCATCCAGGCACAACGATTATCGATTTTAATGCCATTGCTCCAACGTTCATGTTCAAAGCCCTGGAGTTGGTTCTGGAGAAGCATACCCGCAGATTTAAATCAAGTAAAGGACCAGGGCCCGCGATTTTGAGGAGTTTATCAGAGATAGGAGACATTCGGAGCGCGATCTCTTCACTGGAATTTCTCTGCCTTCAGTGTGAACGGTTTGAGAAGTATCCTTCCCCCAAGGCCACGAGAACGGGCCGAGGTAACATATCTTTGGCGCCTGTTGAGAAAGAAGCACTGCAAACGATAACGTACAGGGAGAGCAGCCTTGGTTTATTCCACGCAGTCGGAAAAATTGTCTATAACAAGCGTGAGGGTATAAGTTCTGCACCCGACAACCCTCGGCCACCCCGGCCACCAGATCATTTATGTCATTGCGATCGGCCTACAGTCTCGCTGGTTCCTGTGAACGACCTTCTAGAGCAGTCGGGAACGGATACACAGACATTCATCAGCGCCCTCTATGAGAATTACATACCATCGTGCGATGGCCCTGATTTTGTCGACTGCATAAATGGATGCATAGAGGCATTGTCAGATAGTGATTTTTTAAGTGCTAACTATAAGACAAGTCAAGGTAGTTCTTCACGTGGCACATACAAGGCCGCTCTTGGTCTTGACATGATGCGACAGGATGAGCTCAGTTATCAAGTTGCCGCACGTGGTTTACTATTTTCGCTTCCGTCCCCAGTGAAAAGACGAATAGCGTCAACAAACCAGAAAGGGATTGCACAAGACGGGCATAGAATTTTCTTTCCCACTGAGCTGCGGCGATTGAAAGAGAAGGATCAAGTTGAAGAACTTACGAATTTGTGGAAAGCAACATTATTACACTCACTCAGCGGACTCGGCAGACAAAGCACCAAGTCCTTGGCAGACCACTCCAGAAATGGAAAGCAGCTTCAGGCTGGTAGGGAAGCAATAGTCGCTACTATGGCATCCCGCGATGATCTTTTGCTATATCAATTGCCATACATGGCTAGAATTGGGTTCAACGAGGCTGTTTCAAGTGAACTTGAGGAGATCACATCCTTTTCCAGGCGAAGAACACCATGTGACCGCCAAGGCATCGATGATACTTGCGATTATGAGCCCATGACCACTTATCAGGCCTCCTCTGTCAGACAGCCTACAATGCCTGCCAGTGGCCGCACTCACCGCCAACCCAACCTTCTTCCGCCTGCGGTCTCAAATAGGGAGGATAAATTTGTCTTGAGTGACGATGATATTGAGGATGTTTGATAATGTCCGCACTTACTGTAATAGCTTCCCTGAAGTTCACACACTTTCTCTGATATTACCTCCCATGTTGCACTGGGTTGATTTTAAGCATGTTAATTTGGCCTTTCACGGCCGTAGTCCGACCACCGGCACAGAAACAGGCTGGAAGGCTGAAGGGTCTATTCGAATACATTCCTCCAGCTTGCAATGCAGGTTGGTTTAGAAATTCATGCGTTGCCTTGAAAGGCTGATCTTATAATAATACAAGGGAATTCGGGCGATATCTGTCTATGCCCGACTCAGGTTTTCGGATATACTCCGTAGACAGAACAGGAATAGTCTTCCTGAGTTGCCTGAAAATCATTCGCCCGTTATCTAGCGATATCTTATGCCATCAATTTCTGGTTAGCCAGCTTGAATGCAGCTCTTGACTAAGCAATAATGAATTGCTCTTGACTAAGCAATAATGAATTGTCAACAACATTTAGCGACAGAAGTTGATTCAAGCTCCCGTAATTATTGACCAATCTGCTGCTCAATTTCAGTCATTCTGTCTACTCATTTGTACATCCTCTCTCTTTCTTTTACTTTCGAAGAGAGCATAACCTTTCTAGATCAAACACACGCCAGGCCCTAGGTACAATAGAGCAAATGGTCAGTCACAACAGCGATGATGCTAATTCAAATGAGTCTGGTGCGAAAGAAAAGCATGGGAATGTACTAGAATCTGGTGGTCTAGGAAGCATAGTCTCTGCAGCAGCCTATGCAACCTCTCCTAAGTGGATTAGCATGGTATTGATGGTATCATTAATCTTTGGTGGCTGTTGTACAAATGTAGGTACTCAGTGTATGATGGGATCTTACTTTAATTTTGATTGACTTCATTGCCCTAGGTGTTCGCATTAGAAGCCATTATCAAGTGAGTTTGAAAAACCCGAGTGGCTCGATTGTAACATACTGATGTTCAAACCTACCTAGAGATCAACCAAGTTCAGGTAATTGACTGACTATTATTGCCCAACCAAGAGTTACTGTGTCTGACCTCTCTATCCCCCGCCGGAAGGTCCCCTGATCACCTTCGCGCAATTTATTGTGACTGCTGGATTTACGTTGCCGAATTTTGCCTCGCTATCATTTGGGGCTCAGTCGCTATTCCTTAGTCCGCGTGTTATCCCATTAAGGTCATGGTTGGTATACACGGCCTTCTTCGTGACAGTCAATCTTTTGAACAATTGGGCTTTCGCATATAGCATATCGGTTCCCCTACACATAATATTGAGATCAGGAGGCCCTGTTGCTTCCCTTATCGTCGGATACTTGTTCAATGGAAAGAAGTATTCTTGTGGTCAGATTTTGGCAGTAGCGGTGCTCACTCTTGGTGTTGTTACAGCAGCATTGGCGGATGCTCAAGCTAAAGGTGAACCATTAGACATTGGGCGTGGTGAAGCGGGTCTTGATATAACGACTACCGCTACTGGCTTCACAATTCTTGCGTCTGCCATGATCCTTTCAGCCTTTCAGGGAATATATGCAGACAGACTCTATGAGACTTATGGCCGAAGCCACTGGAAGGAAGCGCTATTCTATTCTCATGCACTCTCGCTACCACTTTTCCTCCCAACCTATCCGCAGCTCCTGAATCAATGGCGGATCATGCTTTCTTCGCCTCCCTTGCGATGTCAGCTTCCCGTGACGTCCATCAGCATCGGAAAAGACGCCGAGATTCCTGCCTCAGGGCCTTCCACCACTTCAATCGCCGTATCCGGGCCTCGTCTGATTTTAGAAATACTGGGATCTCACCTATATCCATCTTTCATCGCGCATATTCCCATGCAGGTGGCTTATCTTTTTGTGAATGCGCTGACGCAGTATCTGTGCATTCGTGGAGTCCATCTCCTCTCCGCTCAGACGTCTTCACTAACAGTGACGGTGGTTTTGAACGTTCGAAAACTTGTTTCGCTCCTGTTATCCATCTACCTATTTGGAAATAACCTTTCGCCGGGTGTTGTCATTGGGGCTGTCTGTGTCTTTGCAGGGGGTGGTCTCTATGGTTTGGAGGGTGCTCGGCTAAGAAAACCGAGTAAGAAGAAGGATTGAGAGTGATAGCTTAGAGCGAGGTGCGCTGGTCGAGTAACATGCTAGATCAGAATTCCCGCGAGTCGGAGACTGACTTCGCATTCTGTGTGTATACTATATGTCAAACTTTACGTCTAACCGACCCTTCCACCTAGATAGAGTCGCCCGCTAGGGGGAGCCAGCTCAACATAAGAATCTAAAGACTTAGAGATTTCTTACTAACACAGCTATAACACAGGCTAGCATTAATTCAAAATCCTAGTAAAAAAGTAGAGATTCTATAGTATATGCCTATGCTAATATTATTACTTATTCTAGTAGCATATCTGTACTATCACTATACAAAAAGTCCATCTTTTCTATGTATATTTTTACATATATTGGCCTATGATCTGTTAATATTACCTCTCGGCTATATGAAGTACTCTAAATAATCATCTATATAAAAGTATAGCGAAGTACGGTTTTCTTAATTTCTATTGGAATTAATGTAATAATAAATATCTAATTTTAAGTATATTCTTGTATATTTTTTTAGCTCTATATAGTAATAACTCCAAAGATAAGATATAGAATCTTTTCCTTTCATACTATATTATAGAGATACCAGTATTAAAGGTGTACACTTAAGTTTATAAGTATATAAGCTCATGATGGTTATGTACGTACACTTAAACATGGCATCTTGTATGGGAAAATAGGCTTATGTTGAGCTGGTTTCCTTTGGGCTGGCAGGGTCGCCCTAGCGGGCGACTCTGTAACTAAGGCCGGTTATATGTTGATAACCACGGACAAGTTTACCTTGTGTACAATGACTGGCTTATGTTGAATGAGATTGAAAAGAAGGAGCTTGAAAGAACACATATTTAATGTCGTAGTACAAAGTAGAGTCAATAGTCAAGCATGCACCGAACAAGGGCGCTCACCCATCAACAAAGGCAGAAAAAAAACACTATATGTACAGTTGCATGATACAGCATCCATGACATCCATTGCTGCGTGCTGGAGAACATCTGAAACAGGCTTTCTGGGTTGAAGGCTCTCTAACGGAACCTTTGCACCATGGAGATCATAGCACTTCACCTACAATTCTCGCTGCTTCTTTGTAGGTTTCTAAAAGCCTTTCACACTTCTCTCTCTCCGCCTTGATGCCATCATCCTCATAAAGGAGCTCTGAGAACAGATCCTCTTTATAAAGCTCGCTCACAAGTCTATTTTGCACGACATCTTTACTATGGTTGACAAGAAGGTGCATAATAGCTTTCGGGACTTGATCGGCGATGGTTTCCCGAACAATATTGAAATATGATGAAATCAGTCGACGAATCAGCTCTGTTTCCATGAGCTCGCGGTCAGAGAGAGTCGGCTCAGCATGGTCCGCCTGACAGAAGTGAAGTCAGCTCCTGTTTCAATGAGATAAAAGAATGGATATTGACATACATGCTGAGACATGTCCCCGCCGTATTCAGAAGATCCTGCATAGTCATCGGGTAATGACATCGGCGAGCGTAGATCTGTTCGTCTAATACTCTGGCTGATGCTGGGCTCGCTGAGATGGTTGGGCTGTCTTTGTTGAGTCAAGGGCTGGGGCAGCGGTGTCGAGCTCTGCATCCCGTCTTTGCCAAAGAAATAATTCAAGAACGAGTCGCGTGTAGTATTCGTAGCACCGAACATAGCATTTGGGTTAGTGTTGACACCGTTCAGAGTCGCCGTAATGGCGCTATCTTGACCCTTGTTAATGTGAGGAGACATGCTCCTGGAATTCTTCGAAGTTTGACCGCGACTACTGAGGTTCTGTGTTTTCAACTCAGCGGAGTGGTCCTCGTCATCTTCAGGCGAGATTGGGACGACGCCATTGACACTGCCCAGCTCTTTTTGACGTCTTCTCTCCCGCTTTTTTCTATCGTCTGCTAATATCATCTTTCTCTCCTGCTCCTGTTTATTCTGTATAACAGATGACATTGCTGCTGCTGCTCCGAGAAAGTTTGGGTGATTCGTGTTGATGTACGCCCTTTGAATGGAGATTAGAGATTCAACATAAGCCGAGCATGGTCCCAAGCGCTCGCGGAGGAGATCGGACACTACTTCAATAAGTTTTGCTTGCAGTCGAGGGAAGCGTAGGAGTTCTTGGGAGCCACAGGTATGACAAATTTTGATGAGCTCTTCGTAGACAAGTTCAACACAACGCTGGCTAGGAGCTTCAAGCATTTTAATCTGAGGCTTCACAAGCAGGTCAAAGGCAAGTTCTGGAACAAAAAGACTTGGCCGGGGACCAGTCGAGTTTCTGATCGCCGTTCTGATATCGGACACGGTCAAATTATGCGTGGGATCAATGGTCTCAAGAGAGTTGCCGAACACAGAGTTGAATATATAGTATATCCTGGCACCTCCGCACAGCTCCTTGGTAGAAATCTCAGAGGAGGTACCGTCGATCGAAGCGATAAAGGAAGAGGCAAAACGCGTCATCAGCTGCAGTATCAAAGATCCACGATGTTCTTCCCCACTGAATTGTTTGTTGCCATAGCTGGCAAGTTCTTGCTGCGTTTGGCCCATGAGAGTGTTGAGGCGGGCTTTGATATCTGGCAAGCGATCTCGTATATGAGCCATCAGCGTGGTGTTCAAGGTCTTTGCGAGAAACTGTGTTCCGCATCTATTTGCCATGTTTCGATAAGCAGGGTGATGCCTGAAGAACTCAACTTCAGCCTGCAAGGCCTCGGATAGCGACTTTCCAGACTGTATATCTTGCTGAGATCGATTGACGACGCCAATGAAACCGAGTTTAAGTGGATAAACGCGACCAGAAAGGATATCCATCGCATTGGTTCCATGATCCATTAGATCCAGTTTCGTCAAGACACCAATTGTTCTCCGTCCCATTGGGTCTACTTGTCGTGCAAGTTTCAGCGCTTCGGAGTTCACAAGGTCGACATTTGCCGGAGAGACTGCGAGTATAATGCTATTCGGCTTGGCGATGTATTCAAGAATCAATGTTCGGGTCTGCTTCTCAATGTCGGATGGTTGGTCTCCGATAGGCACCTTAGTCAACCCCGGTAAATCGACCATGGTAAGATTGAGCACATGGGGCGAGAAAATCTTGAGATTGATGGGCTGCCTATTGATGCCTTTGTTATTCCCAGCAATTCGAGCTGTTTCAGCTTCAATCTCCTGCTTCACCAAAGCAAAGTCATCGAACTTGCGCCCCGGCAGATGATGAAACTCGGCCCATTCGTGCTGACCAGCTACACTGGCAGCTGTGTGAGGGACATGAACATCATCATCGCCAGGCCTATCATGGCGTTCACTAGGGATGTTGATGAGCTGTAGAATCAAGGGCCGTCTTGTGACTATACCACTTCCTCTCGGTAGGAAATCCCTCCCGACAATGTTCTCCAGGACGGAAGATTTTCCAGAAGATTGGGAACCTACAACAACCTAGAGAGAAAGGGGAATTTTGAGAAGATGAATCAGCAAAAGAGAAGTAATGGAGTAATGTTGGCACACTGGAGATACTTATCATGCTGCCCATGGGAACTCACAATTTGCGGTAGATCAAGCGAGTCATTTCCAATTGTGTTGAAAACAAGATCTTGTAGCTTATTCACAGTTATAAGCAAGTCTTCACTAAGGGATGCCATGTTGCCCTGAGAATCAAGCCCAGAGAGCACTTAGTGCTTCAGAGGTGGTGTGGGATCTTTAAGAGATGACCACGTAGAAGGATGAGTGGAGGTTAATAAGCAAAGTAGTGGTAAAGAGTAATGAGAGTCTGAAAGTGGTAGATAAACTAATTGAAAATAATCAATTAGAATTCTGCTGCTTTGATAATGTGCTATAAAAAAACACTGTAGCTATAAGCACAGCTACTTTTCTAATAGTATTAATACCAAGGCAGTGATTTGTATAGTCGACCAACAGAAAAAGCTAGAGTACATCACATGACATGGATATCTATACCTAATTCATCGAAAATTCATCGAGACCCCCCTCAAGTATGATTATTTACTTGGATGAATCTAAGGTAGTTATTAGAAAAGTATTATATTAATCTTGTCAACAATCTATTAAATTCTGTCTTAAAAAAATACCCACTGTTTCAAGACTTATCTCATGTAAAATTTTATAGCTCACCTGCATCTATCATTGTTAAGTTTGTTACTCTTTGTATGTATGGTTGCTACTCCGTACATGATCAACTGAATGGGCTGCTCTGTTAAAATGCCAGGGGCCACATTGATTGAACAACGCCATTGTCATCACACAATTTATTTCATGATGTAGTAAGGTAGTTTATTTCACAACTGGAGTGGAGAGAAGGATACAGATTCAATGACTTATGACGAAGTTCAGACATCTGTGAAAGAAATAATGTCCGGAGCAAAGGACCAAAGCACAGGCTTTTACAGAAGTTTGAAAATGCTACCTTGGCTTTGACAAAGGAGTCAAAAGTGTAATCGTGGTTTGTTTTCCTTGTAATGGTTTCCAAACAGATGCGCTTATGCCAGACTTGCCGGACCACTTTATCAATATCTGACCGGACCCCGAAATGTCCCACCGAAGAAAAAGAGCACTCACAATCTACTTCTCGAGTTGTACATAATTGGCTGGGAAGAGCCCCTTCTGACCACTGTACTCGCCGAACCACCAATCATCATCAGGGAATTCCTGGTGTTGAGTTAGTGATACCGATGTTTGACTAGTATATCTGCCTAGAAACAAGCGGGAAGGAAAGAAAAGAGGAAGAAGCAAGATAAATGGGGAAAGGATTGCAAGATGTTTTACTTACGATGTTGACTATTTGAGCACCCTCGGGGAAGCTGAGCTCATTGTCCTCCGCAGCCTCGTAGTCGTACAGTGCCATTGCAACCGACTGTGCGATATCTTGCCTATCTTCAGGGCTATGGGCAGGGACGATTGGAGCAGTTTCCTTGGGTTCTTCAGCACCAGCAACCGGTGCGAGGTGATCTGGCTGGTTTTCTTTAATGAGCTCAACATAGTTGCTGGGGAAGAGACCCCGCTCGCCGTGCGCATTAGAACCGAGCCACCAGTCCTTATCAACCATCTCTATGCCAGACACATACTCTCCCTCCTTCAGGTCTATTTCATTGTCCTCTGCCTTCTCATAGTCATACTGCACAATAGCCTGGAGCGCCTCGTCTTGAGGTCGGTCAACGACTACAGCCTTTGCCGTTTCCCTGCCGATATCAATGGCAGTATCCTCGAGCCCTTCATCATCCGGTACTGCCTGTTGGAGGCTTTGTGTCGGCATGACAGGAGGCGGCGAGTATTGTTCATCGTGAGCGTCTGCGACTCCTCGTCCAACCGGTACAGCGACACGAATTGGAGAAGGTTCACGTACGGGAAGCGGCGTTGGAGGAGTAGGGGAACGAGGCTGCTGAGGAGGGCTAGGAATAGCCTGATGAGCTTCGACGTCCAAGGGTTCTTCCGGTTTTACCTGTGAACTATTTGGTGCAGGTAATCCATTCTCAGAACCAGGCATGCCAACTGGTTTTTCGTCGGGAGAAAGATTCATGCATGCACCACGTAAAGTTTGATACTGGCTTGTAAAGTCTGGCTGGCCAGACGGTGACGTTTCCGGCTCAGTCATGAATTCCAGCCCTTGCTGCGAGACACCGCGGTCCACAGAGTTGCCCGTAAGCGTAGTCTGGACGGGAGCCCACGTCTTGCCATTGTACGGACTTTCCCATTTTCCCTTGCTGTCGCCATGGCCACTGCTTGCTGCTGATGAGCTAGAGGCAGGGCCTTGTCCTCGTTCTCGGGCTTTTCTTTCAGCCCACTGCTGCGCAGGAGTCTTTCCTCCCTCGTCTGCAAACGTTCTGCTTGCAATGCCAACCTGTGTGGCAGGAGGGGCCGGGCTTGAAACGAAGCCACCGGGCAAGGGTGCCTTCGTGCCTGTAAATGTTGAGCTTAGCCCGAATTTGTTGGAAACCTTCGGCTTGGGTAAAGTCGTCAAACGCTCGGGCTGATCGGTTAGTCTTGGAGAATCCAGCAATTTCACCCTTTCATCACGTGGTTCAACGGGGTTGGTTGAGACGGACTGATCAATTGCCGATGATGCAGGTTGCTTCTGCACCTTAGAACGGATAGCAGCAATATCAACCTTACCAACCGGCTCATATGCGCCTCTCACAGGCTCGGGTCGGTCTTCTTTCAATTCGCCCGCCTCCCGTGCTTGTCTCCTGATTGCAGCGATATCCACTTTGCCTATTGGTTGATAGCCACCTTTGACAACATCACTGTTCTCTGTAACGGGAAGCTCATGATAATGTGATGTTCTAGGCTGGTTCTGGGATTTGATTGCCTCTATGTCAACCTTAGTTGGCCTGTACGCGGACTGAACTTTTTCAAGTTCTGTCCTGGTAACAGGGGGTGCATCTGGACCCCAGCCATTATCATCGCCGCTCATTCTTGGAACCACCCTGGTGGAAACATTTGACACGGTCTTTGAGACTACCGCACCAGTTCTAGTGGGGGTAAAGGCTGGTTTGCTTGCAATTGAAGGCGTGGGTACAGCAGTGACTAGCGAAGCTCGTTCTGGTGCGTATTTCGCACCAGAGGCATCTCCGACCTTCTGTACTATTCCCTCGGGTGTCAAATCTCCCTCAGAGCGTGCAGTGATTTGAACATGATAGTTCTGAAGTAGCCTAATATCAGAATAAAAAGCCCATCTAACCAGTATGGAGGGACACCAACGGATAGAAACTTTGAGACAGCAGACAGGTGGCTTGTAAAGTATCCTTTCGTTCGCTCTGGGACGCCTTCTCCGCACCATCCGATGAGGACATTCTTCGGGAGACCAGTGTTTGGATCGTTGACTTTGACAAAGGCGAACTGGATCTTTCCTTCCGAGAACTCGTCAATGAGGTCATCTAGCTCACCAGCTGCAGAACTGGGTATCAGCATTTGAGTTGAGCCTCAAATAAATAGATGACTAACCCCCGGTATTCTGAACCTTCAAGACACTTTCCTTGCTGTCTGAACTCCTCTGGAAGGCATTGACCAAAGGCGTTGAGACAGAAAACACTGCCCATTGTCCATATGTGGCACTGCTGGTAGGTAGCGAACAATCGATTACGGACCGATAACTCTTGGTAATCGATGGCCCGTTGGACGAGAGATTCAGAGATGCCATGTCGCGGAGAACTGCTGAGTACTGTTGAGAGTTTGAGGACTAGATAAGGCATGTAAATAAGGAATGCAATGATATTTGCTGGCTACAGTTATTTTAGTCAACCAATATTGCAAGGTGCGATAATGAATAAGTATGATGCAGGTAAGATCAGGTAAGTCAATCAGTTAGCAAGGATGAGGAGGCCAGGTGGTGTATTCCAACATTACCTAGGTTCATGATCTTACTACCTTGGGTAAGGTAAATCAACAGTAAAGTACGATTATTGGTTATTTACTATCTACCTACTCCGTGGTCAATACTCCATAGGCATAGGAATAAAAATAGGTACCTTAGTCATACCGTCCACACAGACGGGAGACTAAGGTACGTATTTATTACTCTGTACGGTACTGTACCTCTCTAGCTAACCCAGATGGATGCCATAATCTGGCTGCCTTACTACCTAGGTATCCGTACTCTGTAAGTTATACCTATAATGTAAGGTACATAGTACCTGGTAGTACTGTAGTACACTGATTACATCATAATCTTTGATGCAACCAGGAGTCTTGACACTGCTTTCCTCTAGTAGTAGGCTGACCTAAGTCGGTAATAATGGATGTTATTTCCAAATCCCACTCACAAATTTTATCAGGCAGATAGATACCTAATAGATAGGGTAGATACAGAGTATATATAGGTATCTAAATCGGCACCAATATGATAGTGGGTATTTCACTAAGTGCATGGGCCTCAACAACACCCATTATGAGACAATACCGCTCATTCAACCATTGCTTTTTGATTCCAAAAGCCACATGGACTGGCCACTGTGAACACTCCATGCCACAACCTACAGGCACCAGTCTACTTACAGAGAAGCAATGTTTTGGTATATCTGGCTCATCGAACAACAACTTCAAAACAATAAGGAGCACACGAACTTTTCCTTATTACCGCAACAAAGTGAAGGCAATTCTTTGCCGTCTTCGTAATTAGGGCAATCGGCCAGGTACAACTTGCCGAGAATCATGCCTGACGAGGCATATCTGAAAAGCAGCCCGCTAGCCTGATACAGCCTGTCTGTGAGGATGTAGGCATGTATTGCTTGTATTATTGAAGACTGCTGCATCATTTGGATCAACCTTTTTTGACATTGTTCATCTCCTACCTGTACCACCGCTTTGACTGGTACTATTTATCTACTCTGGAGTGTGTATAGTATGAAGATAGATCGCAGAAATCTGATAAGCCATTACCTGAGTCTATCTGGGCAAGGTACCAACAACCTGTAGGTACCTTAGCCTCTTGATAGACCTGATCTAATTTCTTATCTTTAGCGCAAGAAGTTTAATAGTGTATCACACTAGTACCCCAGGAGTATGCGGTGAGACTTTCATGTGACCCTACAGCTCCAAACCAGTTTGTAGTTACACAAGTTTTTCTGAGAAGATTTTTGAAGAATTCGAGACCGTAAGGTACAATCGCTGGCAGATTATCCCTGTTTTCTTTCAAATCTTTCCCCAATATCTGCAAGGTCCAATGGATAATGCGCATGATCAACAAGCTTACACTGAAAGCTCAACTGTCGACATAAAAAATGACCGTGATGAAGAAAACACACAACAGGCAGACGTTGACAGCTCTTTATCTGCAACTGTGACAGATAGTCTTGACCATATGCTCCCAAGGGATAGGGAGATGAAAACACCGACATATGATTATGCTTACGAGAAGTCAATGAGTCACACAGAAGCAAAACTCTTCTATCAGCATCATCAATTAGTGTCGCGAGGCACTGACAGTGAGTCTGAACAGGGTTCTGGCCTTACAGGCAGGCCTTCTGCCTCTGACATATCATCAGCTAGAGAAGAGACGGACGGAAGGCCTCAAGTAGGCGTCCTGGGCTCGAGTAGTTCAACACAGTTCGGCACGCCCACTTCGGGATACGCTGAAAATACCAGCACCACTGCCGGTCAGCACCCACTCCGAGATGATGCAATGCAGCATGAGATCTCAAATGAACAAGGATCACGTTACATGCAGTTCGCCACTGAGGTTCCAGGTGCTATCAAAAGTGCTATGAACATGACGGGCAGCGGCACGGTTGCCTCGGAATTAAACATCATCTACCGCAAGATTCGCGGGCTGCTTGACCGACGCGCCGAATATATCCAACTGTCGTCACAGGGTCCTGAGGATAATCCCAAAGATCGTCCCGATTGGAGGATTTACCCTCCCCCGCCAGAACCGGCCTGGGATGCTGATAGAGATAAGGGGAAACGAGAATCCTCTCCCGGTGCCGGACAAAAGAAAAGGAAGATGGGCCAGGATATCGGTGAGGACTTCGACATGGCTGAATTCATTCCGCTCCCGGGGGAGTCAAGTTGGACTTTCAGGCTGGATGAAAATAGTGTCTACCAAGTGTACGAAAATTTCGGGGCTGCGAATGTGCACAAACCTACCATCAGAATACCTTCATTGCGTGATTTTTATATGGACCTCGATGCAGTCATAGATGTATCCACAGACGGACCTACCAAGAGCTTTGCGTTTAAACGCCTCTCTTATTTGGAGGGCAAATTCCAACTTTACACGCTGCTCAATGAATATCAGGAGATTGCTGACAGCAAAAAAGTACCACACAGAGACTTCTACAACGTCCGGAAAGTTGACACCCATGTCCATCACTCGGCGTGCATGAATCAGAAACATCTCCTCAGGTTCATCAAAAGCAAAATGAAGAAGTCACCTGATGAGGTTGTATTGTTCCGGGATGGTAAACATCTAACGTTGAGAGAGGTTTTTGAAAGCATAAATCTGACAGCTTATGACTTGAGCATTGATACGCTCGACATGCATGTATGTATTATTCCCGCAAGTCTTTCTTCTAAACTCTCCTGCTCATCGATTTGCAGGCGCACACGGATTCCTTCCATCGCTTTGACAAGTTCAATCTCAAATATAACCCTGTCGGGGAGTCTAGGCTGCGTGAGATCTTCTTGAAGACGGACAATTACATTAAAGGCCGCTATCTGGCTGAGATCACAAAAGAGGTCATCTCAGATTTAGAGTCCAGCAAATATCAAATGGTTGAGTGGCGCATCTCAATATACGGAAGGTCGATTCAAGAATGGGACAAGCTCGCAGCTTGGGTGGTTGACAACAAATTATTTTCCCCCAATGTGCGTTGGCTAATACAAGTTCCTCGGCTTTACGACGTCTACAAATCAAGCGGCATGATGGAGAACTTCGAGCAAGTCATCACGAACGTTTTTCAGCCGTTATTTGAGGTGACCAAAAATCCCAGCAGCCATCCCAAACTTCATATCTTCCTCCAGCGTGTGGTCGGATTTGACAGCGTGGATGATGAAAGCAAAGCTGAGCGCCGGCTGTATAGAAAATATCCCATTCCTAGAGAATGGAATACGAAACAAAATCCTCCGTACAGCTATTGGATTTACTTTATGTTCGCTAATATCGCGTCATTGAATTTCTGGAGGAAGCAACGCGGCTTCAACACCTTTGTTTTAAGACCCCATTGCGGTGAGGCTGGCGATCCAGATCATCTTGCAGTTGGTTTTCTCTGTTGCCACAGCATCAGTCACGGAATACTGCTTAGAAAGGTCCCTCTACTGCAGTATCTGTTTTACCTCGACCAGATCGGAATTGCAATGTCTCCGCTCAGTAACAACGCGCTATTCCTGACATATGATAAGAATCCGTTTGCGAATTTTTTCAGGCGCGGCCTAAATGTATCCTTGTCAACGGATGATCCTCTGCAATTTGCATTTACCAAGGAGCCATTGATTGAAGAATATTCGGTTGCTGCGCAGATCTACAAATTCAACGCTGTGGACATGTGTGAGCTCGCAAAACATTCAGTCGAGCAAAGTGGCTTTGAACTATCATTGAAGAAGAGATGGCTCGGTGCGAGTTGTTCTCTCCGCGGGGTCGCAGGAAATAATGTCGCAAAAAGCAATGTGCCAGACATTCGTGAACAATTTAGGCATGAGACCTTACTTGGGGAGCTTGCGTTGTAGGTTATTCTCGTGCTTGCAGTCCACCACACAGGCATACCAAGGCGAAAATAACCCTTGTTGACGTATTTTAGGATTGAAAGATACTCTGAACGTCATATTGACTGTTCAGCTAGGCGATCAAATGTCCTCACCACAAGCAGTCAGCTAGAAGGACCATCACAGATTCCTGTGGATCCAGAGCAAGGGAATCTAAACCATTGTAAGTTCAACTTGCAGACCCGGAAACTCGCTTTGATAATCTCTTTTCCCATGCTGTTTGGGTCTTTATTTTGTCATTGTCAATATTGTTATTGTCGCCATTTTCACCAAGTTCCTACCGTCGTCATTTTTGTCCTTCGGGTGCTTGTCTAGTGTAAAATCTTAGTATCTGTTTGGTCTGATTGCTCATGGTGAATATGCAGCAGAGCCTTCCATGAACCCGGTCTTACCTCAGCTTCGATCGAACAGCAGTGGCACAGAGGCTCTTCGAAAACCCTATACCTCAGATAGCACCAGGCCCGGCGGGTCTGACAACTCTCCTGAAGGCACCGAACCCAGAGGGCAAGCAGCAACTTCTCCAGTGAGTCCACCAGAGCAGGGAATTTTCCCTGGTATTGTTCACGAGAGAATACAGAGAGATAGTACCGACATCAATAATGATTGCTGAAGGTCATGAAAAAATGGGGCAGAGAGTGACGGTTAGCCGGTGGACGAGTCTCAAGATTTGAAAATAAATGGCTTTGACGCTGTCTGATCATGCCTGCAAATGTTATGAATCTGATCTGAGCATGCTTGAAGTTAGGCATCTGCAACTTAAATATTGACTTAATCCTCAATTAACGTCTCAGCCACCTTTTGATCTGGATACTGAGGAATTATTATTTACTCTAGTTTAATCCAAAAAAAAAGGA